TTTGTGATGACATTCGGAGGAAGATTAAGGGTTCGTATTGGTGTTCCTTCTGCCCCTGTGATGTATGCGGAGACAAATTTATCGCTATCAGGAGTTTTTTCACCTGGTTCTCTCTTAGTGCTGTTATCAACTACAGTGGTGTCCATGCTTTCGTCGCTTTTCGTGGAATTAATTGACTCATCGGAGTTCTCTAGATCATGTATCAGTTTTTTAACGGATTCATCATGTTCCTTGTCAGTGTGGTCGTGTTGACTATTTGTGCTGTCGTCCTGACTGTCCAGGTATTCGAGGGACTCGTAAGAGCCAGCTACTGATGGCTTACGTGAGGTTTCCCCCTGTATTTTGTTTGCCGGCTGTTCTGCCGCCTCACCAACACCTTGGCGGTCAGATGAAGGTCGTTCTAATAAATTTTTGACCGGGAGGTCCCCTAGTTCCGGGTATCTGACCCCAGGGTTAGTTACTGTTAGTTTACTAGGTGTGGTACTCACATTTACGTTTCCCAGTTGGTTTCTGAGTTTAAGTTTTTCAGTTTTGGGAGATTTAAAGTTGGTTATGTTAGCTAACTTCTTCAGACCATCAGCGGTGACCCTATTTTTGAGGCGTTTGGTATATGTAGTCTCAAAATCTTTAATAGATGCTTGAGAGGCCCTTCCGGGCTTGTGCATTGAACTCTCCCTTAATCCGGGATTTACTTACGCTGGCGTGATTCTTGATATAAATGAAATTTTAATTCTGACAGCTGTCAATAGATAAGAAACAATGTAAACAAACTCCGTAGATTCGCTCGACTATGTCCTAGAACAGTTCTAGGTAAACTGTAAATCATCTGTTCAAATGTAAACGATTTATGATCTTTGATTTAAATCGTTTTTAAAATGATCTTAAACAGCTCTGGTTGTGACTATGGCTTTGAGTATTATTTGATGTATTTTACATCTCAGTCACATTTGAGTTTGGAATTATTTCCTTTTCCTCCCTTGTTAAGATTAGCCCGCCTGGCTTTTATTCCACCTAGTCTTTGAACTAGGTGCTACAGCGACCTTTGATTTTGCTTACTAAGTATAGATGGCGGTACCATTTTCGATCGTTGAATATCTACTCATGCTCAATCCGCCGTAATTGAGTTCGATCGAAATTGGTATTGCAATCAGACTCCATTAGAGACTGGAGCCGAGAATTTCTATTTCTTGCTGAAGAGTCCTAATAAGGACGAAACCGGTCCAAGAATTACTTTTTCCTTAGTGGGCAAAATCAAAGGTAGTGTTGAAAATATTTTCTATCTCTGCTATTTTGTTTCGACGTAATTCAATACCTGGTGAGGTATTAGCCAAAGGAGTAGTTGTTGTCGAAAGAGAAACGGCCGCACATTTATTGTTGTGACTATGGCTTTGAGTATTATTTGATGTATTTTACACCTCAGTCACATTTGAGTTTGAAATTATTTCCTTTTCCCCACCTGAATAATGTAAACTGCCAAAGCAGACTTTGAACTGTTTAAATATTACAATAATTTATGTGGGTAATTAAATATCAATTATTGTTTTTGGGGTACAACTGATACTACCTATTTAAAAAATGGTCAGTTATAATTATTTACATACCTTCAGGAATTACATTATTTCCATCACTTTCAAAAGGACTCCAAAAAGGCGTTTTTTATAAATTAAAAATCCAAACAGTAATGTCAATACAAAACTGGATAAACAAACACTGTCAACCTGTGCTCACTAAACAAGGCGATGACACAGCCAAGCGTGGCGAAGAACCAATCAGAACATAAGTTAAGCAAAATCACAGACTTACGATTGGATGTCCCAGTCCACGTGTAGCGGCATTTATTACGGGCTATCGTGTGCTCTACAATTAGAAATTTGAGAAAAATTCAATTCAGCCAATAGGAAGATTCTTAAATTAAGCTGTTCAACATTAATTTGACCTAAACGTACTTGTCGTACAACGATGTCAGGCATAAAATATTTACGCTACACTCGCTCCGAATATACGAGGTGTGGCAATTAAATACCGAGAATTTTAAATTTTAAAACATTTATTTAATATTTACAATGATTTATGCACCCATGCCTTCACAGTACTCTCCTCCGAGTCTAACACACTTGGTCCAGAGTTCTTCCCTTTTCTGTAAGCACCCCTTGAAGTCTCCAAAAGTTAGGTTCTTTAACACCGACGTTACGGCACGTTTAATGTCCTGCAAATCCTTATAGCGATGTCCTTTCATTGGTTCCTTCAATTTTGGAAATAGCCAGAAGTTCAGTGGAGCCATATCAGGGCCGTACGGGGGGTGGAGGAGCGCTGTTATGTTCCTACTGGTCAAAAACTGTTGAACTTTTAATGATGTGTGAGCAGGCGCATTGTCATTGTGAAGGACCCATCAATAAATCATCGTGTAATATCTGGCGAACGGTTTCTTTATTAATATCGAGTTCATTTGACATCATTCGGATTGTGAGGCGTCGATGTGTCCGCACCAACATTCTGTTCGACATTTTGCTTAGTGTGCACCTGACCTTGCATCGTCTTGCGTTGATTCTCGGCCTGATGCAAAACGTTTGGCCCATTCGTACACACGTGGTTTTGATAAACAGTCATTACCGAACACACGTTGCAATTTATGAAAAATGTCGGCCGGTTTTTGGCCAGATTTCTCTAGAAACTTGATGACAATTCGTTGCTCGTTTTTTACGTCACACATTTTTGTACGTCACGACAGTACACTACTAACTTTAAAAAATCGCAGAGCACAAAATATTACACTGATCACTATCAAACTTGGCAGAGTTGTGTATAATCTCGTGAACTTTACGTCAACAAATTTTCAAGATGTCAGTGTTACCACTATAGGAGCTAGAAATAAATTCTCGTTATTTAATTGCCACACCTCGTATTTGCTCGAAGGGTACTATGCGCTAAACGTACACAGTCGTTTAGCTGTAATGGAATTGAACACATCACTTTTTTTTGCAGTTTGACAACTGTGTCAAGTCTGGACGTCAGCGGTGTCTTTGTGAATACGCTAGTTCAGTGTGATGTCATTTTGGTTCCACTGAAATTTAATTCTAACAAAAATATCAATAAATTTGACATATACGTTTTTACTGGTTTTAGTTTTATTTCTAAATATTGTTTACAGGTCATAAAAAATAGTTTAAAGGTATGTAATTGGTAACTAAACGATTGTATATTTGATGCATGTTATCTACTTACTTTAGGAATATATTTATAAAAGAGAAAAAACGATATAATTTAGGTAAACAAAACGCACTCAAAAAATCTACTGTCACATTGTCAGTAGAACCATAATTACATCATCGCTGAACTAGCGTATTGTGGAATAGTAATATTTATCTGTACTGTCGACTTATACAACACATTTAAAAATAGTAGAGAGCATTCAAGATATTGGGTATACTTATTTAATTTTTACTTCCCTCGATAAAAGGGAAGTATGGTAATCGTGAAAATTTAGATTTTCACGTTTTCGGGTTCCTAGATTACGAAAAATATGTTTTCCCCATTCCGTCGGTCTGTCTGCCGTCTGTCTGTTGGCGCGATAGCTCAAAAACGGATTAAGAGAAAAACTTCAAATTTTGTATGCAGGTAAGGCTTCATCTTGTCTCAAAAACCGTTATACTTCCGGTCAGATATATACAGAGTGAGCAGTTAAAAAAAACATTTATTTTTAAAAGTCAACAGATTTCGATACATTTCGTTGCGGACATATGTTCATATGAACTTTTCTTCATAAAATGACCTGATGAATCACAACCTTCAATATTATCATACCATTAAAAAACACCCTGTATCAATTGTAAATACAGGGAAGCCATTTTGTTTTTAAAAAGTTATTTATGATCTGTTATCTTTGATCAGATACCAATTTTATCAGAAACCAATTTTAGTCAAAATCTGCTGACTTTTAAAAATAAATGTTTTTTTTTAACTGCTCACCCTGTGTAAATCTGACCAGAAATATAACCGGTTTTGAGCCAAGAGGAAGCCTTACCAGCATACAAATTTGAAGTTTTTGTCTTAAGCCGTTTTTGAGCTATCGCGCCGACAGACAGACCGACGGAATGGGGAAAACATGTTTTTCATAATCTAGGGACCCGAAAACGTGAAAATCTAAATTTTCACAATTACAATACTTTCCTTTTATCGAGGGAAGTAAAAATAAAATAAGTATACTCAATCTATTGAATGCTCCTCTACTAATTTAAAGATGATGTATCAGTCTCCTTAGTTTTTTTTTTATGTTGTCGGCTGGCTTTAAAGTCACACTATATCTCTTACTCGTACTATATATAATCTTTTCGGGATTTCAGACACAACTTTTTGTTTTGTATTTTTTTACGAGAATAGCTGCGCATGTAGTTTATTCACGCTGGAAGTCGTTGAAAAAATAGACATACTTTATAAATCATGTACATATTTTATTCACCTGAAGCAAAAAAAAACATACAAAAAACTCAAAATGCTCACAGTCAACGAGTTAACAAATCCAATTATTCGATCCTCATAACTTTTGATAATATTACATACAATAACAGTTTACAAATTATCCACTAAAGAAAACTGTGAAAAGATTAGGAAAAGGGGAACAAACGATTTTTTGACCATCTGACACACTTTGAAGCAACATTTCGTAGGTAGTCAAAATAAAAAAAAAAACCAAAATATATTTGTAAATGGACGATTTCTGCTATAATAAATAAATAAAAAAAAAACTTTAAAAATAGGACAAGCACGGCATTACATTGGCTATTTTTCTCCATATAAATATTAATATCTGTTTCTGAGGACAGTTTTGTATTATTAAAAAATCGGCCAGTTACTTCATATTTTAGAAAAAACTATGATAAATACTTTAGACTTTTAAATAAACTTAACCGAGTTACAATTAAAATCATGTTGCTACAGTTACAAAAATGATTATTTTTTTAATTAATAACTTAAGGCGATTTTGAACCGTAAGGCGGCATTATTTAATATTCGTCTTCTTCTCCTACTCCTTCTACCTCGTCAGGAGGAGCAAATCCTTCCTAAAAAGAAAAAATACATATACGCTAATACATAATTAAAGAAAAAGATTAATTCGAAAATATTGCTATATCAAGAATAGATTTCAGTACTAGGGCTACCGCTTGCAAGAAAGAGCGATATTGTGGCATATTTGCAGGACATTTTTATTTGTATTAGGGCAGGTTGTACAATAATCAGTTAAAATGTAATCTTAGATTAAACTGTAAACATCGTTGCATAATCATGGGTTATTTTTAAACAGTTTTAAAAATGACATTTGTACCTTGAATATATAGGGCGGGTTGTACAAAGAATGATGTAAAATCAGTAGTTTAATTTTTAACTGGTTATATTCAATGTATAAATGTCATTTTTAAAACTATGTTTAATAATAACCGATGATTATACAAAGAGTTTCACAGTTTAAACTAAGATTACATTTTGACTGTCTACAACCCGTCTTTAAAAATTAAATGTTAGCTAAACTGAGTTTACTGCATTTTTTTGTACTACAACCCGCCCTAAAAGTAAACAATATCTCCCGTTTAAAAATTAGATTTTTTAGGAATTGTTTAAATAATTTCATTTAAAACAAAACATAACCACATGGCAAACTGCATTTATGTAATACTTGGCATATTTTTAAAGGATTCTGACAAAAAATTGTGACAGAAAAGTTTTCGAAACTCATGCCCGATTCCTTTTAAACTAACTGCAACCAATTTGTCATCGAGTTCCATCTTGAACAGGCAAAAAGTAAAAGAAAACGGGCGGTGGTGCGAAATTACGGGATCGATAATAGGTCATTATGCAGTGACACAACAATGATATGATCGATGCTAACAGAGCTTGGCAGAACTCGAGTAAAAGTAGTCGAATATTGTACTAAGTACTGCATTTTGGGTTGTCAGTACCTGGTACCTGAGTACATTTTCAATACCGGGTATTTTTACACCATATGCTACGGGTGCGTACGTAGCAACGGTACCGCGTTTATAATACGTGTACATTTTTTCAAATATCTTTTGCAAGTCTGAACTTGTATGTGCCTATGCGAGTGCACCAACGCAAAACCCTGTTATAATTTTGGAGAATATTTACTTTTTACTTATCGAAGGCTACAATGCAGGATCTCGTAACTAACATTTCCACCGAAAATTATATTTTATGATAATCTCGTTTAAAACATGTCTCTCTATCAACTGTATAAGGAAAGTATTTACGAACGAAAAATGGGTTATATTACAGAAATGGATTGTTCTATGCACTTGTGTGCTCTCTTGTGGCCCTCGTTATGTTAATATTGTTAGTTGTGTTTTATCTTTAACACTAGAACATGAATATGATTTTAATATCGAGCAAATTATTACCATCATAGCGACAGTATAACTAACCAGGATGAAGGTACTAGAAACTAGAAACGATATTAATGCAGAATTTGTGATAACCTCCTTACCTTTTTTCTGAGTATAAACTACGACAATTAGGAGAATGATTTGATATTGAATGTTCTTTTCCTATATTATGCAAATAGTAGTAAATAAAATGAAACAGAATTACGTCATACTGCTAAGTGCTAATCTTGATACAATTTGATTTTTTTATTTGCTTAGCTATATAAATTTTTTGGTAAATTACCACTAGTAATTAGTAAAAGTGTAATGTAGCGTAGCAAATGTACTTGAAAAAATTACTCGTGAAATTCAGGTACTTGTACTAGGACTAATGTAATTGATACACTGAGAAAATAGCCTTAGCTAAACAGTTTATCTCAAAATTATTATCTGGAACAGTTAAAAAAGTACCTGCAATATTTAAATTTTTAATTGTGTAACAATTTCAGTTAAGTGGAAATTTCTGAAAAGCGCCAGCTGTCCCAACTGACCCAGGTAAATTGGTTTTGTTCATTGGTTTTTAGATGAAAATTACATATATTCTAGTTAATAAGCTAACTGAACTATGTATAAGTAACTTTTTAAAAATCTTTAACTGCTATAGATATTCTAAGTGTCTGGCCTTGATAAATTTTAGACTTTCAATATTCGTGAATAATTGTATTAAAAACCGATTTGTTTCGAGCTAATTATTGTAAAAGAAATAAAAAGGACCACATCACCACAGTCGGAAACAACGTGTTCTATGGAGACAACGTGTTCTATGGAGACAACGTGTTCTATGGAGACAACGTCTCAGCCAACAAGTTCTGTATAATGGACGTCAGCTGTTTATTTACCATGTGGGTACGAAAGTGAAATTAGCTACATAATTGGAGTTTAACGAATTATTTGTGAAATTATATAGAGATATGTAAATTTTTATTTCATTATTCACGACCCGTGACCTAGATTTAATTAAATTATTACCACAAAATTGTGATTTGTCTTTAAAAAGAAGTTACCGGTGGTTTTATATTAATGAAAAGTATTGTGACGTGATCTGTGACTGATTCATTCCACTAGTTTTAAAAGTATATTTTATGAAGTATTTTTTATTTTTGGAGACACGACTAGATGAAGTTCTTTATTAACAGATAACAAATAGTGCCTACATAAGAACTGTTGTGTGCCACTAGACTCATTGTGGATGCTCCTAAACTTTCTATTGTTACAAGGGAATTCAAATCACAAAGTTTTATTTTGGTTATACAAATATTTATGATCTTTTTATTTCAGAATGAAACAGTGCGAGTTCTCAAACAACTCGTTAAATTGAACCAAATTCCAACATTCGAGAAATATTTGAAAAAAAAAACAACTATCATTATTTTATGTTTTTGGTATATAGTTTTGTATTTGCAAATAAGTTGTAAACTGAGATTAGGAAGTAATGAAACAATCTAGTTATTCTTCATCTTCCTAGGATCAATGTTGTATATAAAATAAAGACATTTTACTATTACTTTACGAAAATATAAAATACATAAATGTTTTTAATGAAACCCCTCAGTTCTATCAGAGCTGGGGAGGATTCGAATCACATAGGATTCGAATCCTTTTTGAGGATCCGCGAGCGGTATTCGAATACTTAAGAAAAAAAAAAGGATTCGTGATCCGGATTCGCCGAAAAAATTCTTAAGGATTCTTATTCGAATCACCAATATTAGTCTCGGGTCCTTTTAGAGACCAAACTACGCCGGCGCGAACGGTCGGCTCACGATTCGACTTGGCGCGAAGTGTAAACTGAAACAAACTGAGAATGAAGACCGATTGTTAATATTTAGAAGATAAACGTAAGAATCTACAAATGAATTAAAAGAAGGCAGTAGAGCACCTAGACAATTTTGAGTTGAAACCTATGCCATATTTTTAGGCTATTTTAAGTCTATTTTATATACCCTATTAAAAAATTGTATGCTTCTCGTTTTTTTACAAAAATCGAGATTCCCTGCTAGCTTCGAACGAGGCCAGCAGAGCACCTCAGTTTTTTAATATAAAAACAACCACATTGTATTTTTAGGTTATTTTTAGGCTCCTGAAATATTATAAAACTTTACTAACAAATTGCTATTTATAAATAATACAGGGTGCTTTGTTGGAACAAAGTCAGCAGAGCCCCTCGGTTTTTTAAAGCTTTTTTTTCTAAAAACAACCACACCGCATTTTTATCCTATTTTTAAATAATACAGGGTGCTTTGCTGGAACAAAGTTTGCAGAGCACCTCAGTTTATTTATTTTTCTATAAACATCTACTTATGTCACATGTTTAAGCTATTTTTAGGCTTTTAAAATATAAAACTTTTCGAAAAAAAAAATAGTGTTTTTTAAAAAATACAAGGTGCTTTGTTGAAACAGAGGTAATCTGCTGGCTTCGTTCAAAGCTAGCAAAGCACCCTGTATTTTTTAAAAATAATATTTTAAGAGTCTAAAAATAGCCTAAAAATATTGTGTCGTTGTCTTTGGAAAAAACTGAGGTGCTCTGCTGACTTCGTTAGAAGATAGCATAGCACCTTGAGTTTTGCAAAAAAAACAGTAGCATAAAAATAGCCTAAAAATATGGCATAGATTTCAACTCAAAATTGCCTAGGTGCTCTGCTGTCTTCTTTGATATTACAAATTAGCAATGAATATTCAACATAAAAAAATTCTAAAATTTAACACTTTTTCCTTCGTCTGGTGCAGTCTAACGATTATTTTTGTTTGCAGGTATAATCGACGCACCTCGAAATTTTGGTGCTATGTAAGGCCAACCAAAAGACATTTTTATTTCATTTTTTGTTTATTTTGTTTTTTGTATTAAAATAAAATAATAATTTATTTATGATTCATATTTATAGAAAAAAAAAAAAAAAATAAGTTTATTATTTTCAACATTTTCTTGTATCAACCATTTGTATGCAAGTCATAGCCAGTAATAGACACATAGTTGATATTGATATTAGATTCGGAAGCATGCATAATACCATGGTATGACGCTGACTGTGATTCGTATTCGTGATCCGAAAAAATGGATTCGAATCACTTGATTCGAATCCTTTTAAGGATTTAGACATAGGATCTGTGATTCGAATCACATCTCGTGATTCGGATTCGTGATTCGAATCAATTTTTTGAGGATTCGTCCCAGCTCTGAGTTCTATAAATACGTTTTCAAAAAACTAATCTGACTCTGAAACTCTAATTGTTTTGATTCTTTTTATATACTTTAAATTCCTTTATTTTGAGTTTTAGGCAGACAATAATTCTCTCACTAATTCAAAATTAAACTTTTCTCTAAATGCATAATCGTTATCATAATCACATGTTGTTTTTAACTTTGAGAAAAATATTTAAAAAAGAAATGCATACACAGAAAATTTTAATTCTAAACGAATTAGCCTTATAATGTATGTCTGGATTTCATAATAAAATGAGTTAAACTACATAAAAAAGTATCCAACACAGATAAATTAGCTAGCTGAAGCACACAATGATGTCACTAGAATAGTTAAAGAAAGTAAATGAAATAAAAACAGTTTATCTAAAATATACAAAAACTACCAAAAATACATAAATTGATAATACTGTTAGCTAGTCCATATAAGAAGAAAACAATGGTATAAACAGGGTAACCTTTTTAGGCTACAAATTTTGCTAAATTGCACATACTAGATAACTAGAATGACTGAATATTTGAATTTTTCACACAAATTGTTTAACTGTTCCAGAAACAGAAAGTTTAAACGTAGCAGCTGCGAAGTTTCTGAAATTAATTTTTATGTAGAATAGTAACTTGACGTTTCTGAGACCTATTTACTTAAACTTTTTAACTGGTCCAGTTATTAATTTGAAAGTTTCAGTTAAACTTTTCTCTCAGTGCAGGATATACAGTGAGTAAAATACTCAGTACTATGGACCCGTTCTTAATTATAAAAAGTATCCGGTACTTGAGTACAATTTGAAGATACAAGTGGAAGAAGCGCCTATGTAGCAAAATAATGTTTACGAGATATTTCGTGTTAAAGTTTATTGTTTGGCAGTTATTACCTAGTACATGGGTCCTTTATCCACTGGCAACTTCTATATTTAATGATATATTGTCACGGAAGACATTTTAAACGAATTTTAGGTACATAAGCCCCTTTCATTCACATAAAAACGCCATTTAAAAAAAAATACATAGGCCCTTTATCCACTTGTATCTTCATTTATCAGAATGATCTGCAATGTGACATCAAATTAGAAATAATACCGATTTCAAAATATTATTTTTTCTAAGTAACCATTCAACAAAAACAATATATTGTTCTATAAGGTATTAATAAAATTCATTTTTATAGGTGTAATTTTTTTATTTGAATAAACAATAGGGGCTAACATTCTATCGGTCCCTAGGTAGAGGTACCTAATGAGAAGTGAGGTCTGTCTGAGAAATTGTCAAGAAATAATCAAATTTATTCAGTTTAAAAATGTACAAGATAGTAAAGGCTAATGAGGACTATGCAGGACACATACAGTGAATGTCATATAGGTAACTGATCATTTAATCAAGTGTTAATATTAACTTTAAAAAGTGTCAAGTCAATGAAAAATAAAGGTACAAAAAAAATTGGAGCAAGGTATTTTTCCAAGGTAAGTATTCCATTTTTTATATAAACAAGATGCGGCTCGGCGGAAGCCTTACTGTAACATTCTAATTAGACCTCTCGCCCCAGCCTCAGGCAAACACCTGTTAGGCCTTAAGAACAGTGAATCATAATTAATATATGTTGGTATTTTCTTTAAATTAAATATATTATAGGCGTATGTATATGTATATAAAAAAAATAAGACATTAATATTATGCACTTAATTACTAAATATTAATAAATTATTATGTTTCACTCGACTTGAGATACCAAATGTTAATTTCACGACTTTTAAAAATTTTCTCTGATGAATTTATAAAATTTCCGTTTCGTGTTGGGTATAACGTGTGCTCAGCTACAAAAATCGAATTTTAGAGGAAATAGATTAAAAAGAGCACCATACACCAAACAATTGTTGTGAAAAATAATCATATTTGTCAAATTTTCCCGAATATTGACTTATTTAATAAAGATTCCCGGACTTTCCCTGACTAATCCAAATTCCCAGATTTTCAAGAAAGGTTCCCCCTGCACTTTAGTTTGGAATGAGCTTTATTGAGCTTGAATCACTAAAAAATTAATTGTATCATGAATTTTTTTTTCATTATAAAAAATATTCATATTGTCAAAAAATTGTTAATTTTTCGTAATTTTGTTTTATGAGCAGATATTTTTAATCCCAATTTGATATGAAGCTCTCTCTAAGGTTACTTAGAAGCTTTAAGTACTGTGTATATAAAATAAAACAAGACCTATTCGCGATTATCGTTTATGGAGAATTTTTAATCCTGATGGTATTCCCTTATGTCCCTAATATCCCTAAAAAAACATACTGCTGTTAACCATACTAAGAATATCTTTTTGGAGCTATCCTCCATTATTCTAGCGTTATCAACAAATTTTATCTCATCATCCCAGTATATTTAGGTTTTCACTTTCATGGATATAAATTTATAAAAACAAATTTCACTTTTTTTACTAACGATATTTTGTAGGCTTTTTAAATAAAGAAATCTGTGATGTGGTCCCTTCCGATTTTCTAAATAATTTTATATTTTAGTGTAAACTCACCTCGGTGGCATATAAAACGTCCAATATTTTCTGAATAATAGGATTTCCATCTTCACATTCTTGACACATAACTTCAATATCCCTTAGTTTACCAAAATAGAAATCTCTTTCTTTTTCTAGTCCGTCGACTGTTAGCTAAAAAAAAATTTGAAAACATAAATAAATAAATAACATGAACATTCATAATATTAAAAAATAATAGCCAATGTGTTGTAAACACTTGAGAGGGCAAGAATATTTTTGTAACATTGTAACGATTTGTATTGATGTTTGATACTATGCAATTATTTTAATCAATTTTTATGCCGTAAACTTAAGAATAAAATAGTATTTAGAATGCTTGTATATTGAGTCTTTGTGATGCAACTCTTACAAAATAACCAACCAATAAAGGTTAATGGCCCTTCAGCCCGACTTTACAAAAAGTAAGAAATCGATTATCGTTGTAAACGTGAACGAAAACCAATGAATATAACGAGAACGTCGTTGTAGGCATAGCAAAAGAAAAAAGGTTACCCACAATTCATTCCCGCAATTATTCTTAGACCTTCGTACATTGCACACCTAAAAAGTAAATTGTCTCTCTTTTTATATTATTATTGCAGAACAAACAATAATTGGGCTATTCCGCAAATGAACATCAATTAAAACTTAAGTTGACTATTTTCTCCCTAGCCTCAAGGACCCCTTCATCAATTACTGGGTCTATGTCGCAACCCTCTTAGATTAGTAAATAATATTTTTCTCACCTTAAATTCTGCTACTTGATTCGATAACTCTTCTATTTTACCAGCATCCCCACCTTGGTTTCTAGTTGCTGGTGGCTTCATTGTATTTGGTTTGACGGCAGCCTTGGGCACTAAAATTTTTATATACAAAAACAAATCGCAAAAATATTATCCAAACTAAAGCCCAATTTACCAAAAGTAGGATTCTCTTGTGTGCTACAAGGGGTGTTAAATTAATTGAAAGTGTATTGTTTAATACAGGGTGTCCCAGAATATGTGGACAATCTCTTAGATTCAGATAGAACACATAAAAATAACATGAGAACACGTTTTTCAATAGTTTTTCCTACGATCCCCCTTTTCGGAGATATGGTCCCATAACGGACACCCCTGAAAATCTTATTTTTTTAAATAATTTTCAAAGTCTTTGGTATAATTTAATAATTTTTAAATACGATTAATATAAATCCATTTTATGGAGACATATATCCATTGTATTTAAAAAATATATATGTACAAATTATACCATTTTCAGTGTTGTCTATTATGGGACTATATCTCCGAAAAGGGGGGCGGAGGTCGCAGGAAAAAAAAATTAAATGAATTTGTTATTTTTGTGTTCTATCTGAATCCGGAAGATTGCTCACATATTCTGGGACATCTTGTATATTTGTTAGATGTAGATACTTAATTTTGAAAAACTTTGATATAGTCCCACGATTTTAACTGATTATACAGGATGTATTTTAAGTACCTTCCAATATTTCAGGGAACAATTCAATTGTCAAATAAAGTTGGTCCCTAAAGTGATTCGTAAGGAAGCCACAACTCTACATATAAGTAATTTAATAATACACACAACACACTGGAAAACAAGATGTCATATTGAAACTCATTTTAAAAAAAAAAAAAAAATAATAATAATAATATGATCGCTATTGCATTTTTTTAAGCCTCTACATATTATTTTATGGTACTATCTAAAAAGTAAGTTTCTTTAAAAAGCACATATTAAAAAAGTTGACGAAATATTAATTAAAAGCTGAATAATTTGAGAATTCGTAATAAAACACAAAAATTCCCCTACGAATTATTAAAACCATCCTCGAACCCCAAAGGTGAAAACAAGGATATTTGAAAAAAAAAAAAAGCTCGCAGGCGGGAATTGAATCATGACATCCTTGTATGCTAGAAAAGTGCCCTTCCTTCTAGACCATCACGACATTAACTGTCGAGATTCCTAGACAGAAATTTGATGTGCTAGTTCGGGCCAGACGGCGATCAATCTCGTTCTCAAATCTTCAAATACTAGCATTTATGCAAGCTAAGTCCATAAATTAATTAAAAATCTATTTTTTTGGCGCCATCTTTAGAGTTATAGAGCTTCTTTATTGCGGGATTTTAGGTAAAAATATAATAGTAAAAAATATAGTCGCCTCCTGAAATATTGGAACGTTCTTAAAATACAAATATATTAAGAATAAAATAATAAATGTAATATGAGATAAATATTTATTTATTGATTGAATATGCGATCCAAATATCCGACAATGTTTAGTAAACTAGGCTTTACCATGGTAAAAACTATATTAAATGCTATTAGTAACATAGCTAGCCAACAAGCTTTAAAAACATGCGGCACAGAAAAGGTGAAGAAGCAAAGGTTTTTTATTTTGAAAATAAGTCACAACTGTGGTTTAATTTATTTTTCACAAAAATTGTTTTTAGAACTGTACTTAACAAAATGGCTCATTAAATATAATGAATGTGTGATACATAAAAGAGCAATGAATAATTTTCCAAGCAATGTTTATGATAAGTAATGAGTATGAGAAGGTTGTAATATAAAAATGTTCTTAAAGAAACTGTCAAAGTAGTTTATATGATGAAACTTGCCATTTTAAAGTTACAGGTCAAAAATTAAGGCCAATATTTATACAGTGTGTCTACCTAAGTTGTCTGCACATGAAAAAATTTGCTATTATTTTTCTAAAAAAAGCTATTCTTGATCAAAAAGCCATGCACCACTTATAAACTAATAATCAATAAATTGGTAATATATTTAGTAATATACAGTCAAAATCAAAACTTATGATTTATGATGAAGAGTAAAGTACTTGAACTTTTCAAATTTGATACTTGATTAAGGATTCACAAGTGATTCAACATTTTTCGTAAAAGTAATAACAAATTTTCCACATGCTGATAATTTACACTCCATATAGACACAATGAAAATATGTTATTTCGATTTTATTTTTCTAAAATAGGTATACCAAATTGCACATATTTACATTGAACGTATTTACAAAGAAGAATTTGATAATCCAATTATTTAAATTATTAATTAAACAAAAAAAGATAATTATTTTAGACTTATGACTAAAAGAAAGATTAAAAATAGAATAAGGTTTACTTCCTGTTAGAGAATAATCATGTACATAATTGTCTTCCCACAATAATAATTATTATTATCAAATTCACCATAATTTGTACAAATTACCTACACACAAATACTTGGTTAAAATAAAAAAAGAGAATAGAAAAAACTAAGAAAATAAGAATTTTTAGTTTTATTAGAAATTAATTGAAACCTTCTGAATCTAAGATGTCTCAATAAAAAGTTTTCATTGACCATAACATAAGAAAAAAAGGAATTATCATAGTACAATTTTCCACTGAAATACAGGAAAATTGACCAGCACGCGCGATACAGCTTATACAACAGGGTGTCAGTATATTCGACCAACAACGCTCTACCCCAAAGAACTCTCGTTAATTAATGAATTTTGATATATGTAGGAACATGAATCCTTAAAGGGTTTAGTTACCGAGATACCGGGTGTTAAAAATTTGAAATCAAAATTTGTCAAAAATCAAAAATCGCCTTTAAATATTTTTTTTTAAATTAGATGAACAATTTAAGAAAAATATTTTGACATAAACTAACCTTTGCAAAATTTAACCAGTAGCGCCACTGGAAAACACTTTTTGATTTTATATTTTTTTTTAATTCTCTGGTCATTTTTAGTTAAAAAATGAGGATCTCTAATGGGACTAAAATGAACAGTGTTGCAAAAATTTGCTTCTAAACAAAAGTCTGCATGTACTTAGATAATTTGTAAGGACTCAATATTTCTAATTTCTAATCTAGTAAGCACATGTGAAATTTTGAATAGTTCATTTTTTTGACAAGATCTTGGTAAATCAAATTTTAAAATAGTATAATAAAATACAAGTTGCAGAAGGCCACTTATTCCCTACTGTTTTTTTTTTGTGGTCGTTTTTAGTTAGCTGGGGATTTTTTTGCTGTCAGGTGGAATTTATTTACTAGCAAATGTCATGTGAAATGTCATAAAAAAATGTCACCAAAAATCGTTTAAAAATGAGCTTCATTCTTCAACGATTTTGCATTCGAGAATATGACAATCTTACACCATAGAAAACGATTTGAAGATGTTTTTAATTTATGGCAAATTTTTATTTTGATTTAAAATTTTTAGCACCCTGTATCTCGGTAACTGGACTTTTTAAGAGTTCATGTTTCTATGCCAAAATTCATCAATTATCGAGAGCCCTCTAGTAGAGCATCGTCGGTCGAATATACTAATACCCTGTATCTAAAAATAAAAAATAAAAGTTGTTAAGTTACCGTAATATTTACTTAATTTATATCAGTTAAAATTGCAATTAAAGTAGTGCACCTGGTTGGAAGAAAGACGAGATAAATTTGAGATTTATGACGAAGTGAATCACCAAGTCATTCTTCATTGACTTATATTTTTCTAGGACATTTCATTGAAATATCGCAAGGTAACCTTGAAGGTGCATTTAAGCATTTTAATAAAAATCCAGGTCAATAAAAGAGAAAAGATCTCATTGTTGGTATTTTTGATCACGGATTATTTTTTTAAACGCTGTATATTTTTTATGTCAATATACATTTCCACCACTTAAAAGTACATTATAGTTTTTCCAATGTCAGTTGAAGAAGTAGGTACATTTTACGAGGGGCACTTACTAAGTATTTCCTTACCTCTTAAAATCTATTATTATTAGAATTTATTCAAGTATTTAACCCTCCGATATCCGAGACGCAACCCTAATAAACTATGCGCAAATTTTTTTAAAACAGTTAGGTGCGGACTTCTTCCATGTAAAGCAAGGACAGAAGTTGGACAGTTTTGTGGCGGAGCTAACCGAAATCAACACGAAACACTGGTGTAGAAAATTATTTTATAGATGCTAATAACAATTTCGCATAAATAGTTTAATGCATTGTGAACAGCAGTTGAAATTTTGTAGAATTATGAATTGGGATATTATTACTTGCTTAAATAATTATTATTTCTAGCCCATAAATAGATAACGACTGCCCGATTTCGTCGATAATAATTTAAAAGTTTTGGCATTTTTTTATTCTATGATACGACACTGGCGAATAAACATTACTGAGAAATTCTCGATATTATCCGACGGGATTTGACGTTTACCACCTCTCCACATACCAAAAGTCTTTCCAATTTCTGTGCCTGCTCTAAAACACAAATGGAAGACATGCTTATGTTTGGTGATCCGTTTCAACGGATTTTGGAAAAACTATAAAGTTTTCGAAGGCAAAACAAGTATAATGAATGTTATCTAAATACAAATTCCTTCGATTTTGATAACCAAATAATGTCGTTCGGATACCATACGAGCGCGTAGACGTATTTGTTAAGATTACGAGTTGTATTTGTCAAGATTTTTCAATGAATGTTCTTTAGATTATATTCACCAAATATATTTACAACCGATGGATTCATTTATCTTTAAATGATAGTAACGTTAATATTTTTTAATTTACAACCATGGATGCACTGATTTAATTCATAAAAGAGTCCAATAACAAGGCGAAATACGAAATCGAAAACACTCATTTTCGTTTAACAACACACACATATTAAACACAACAGTGTAGGTATATCAAACAAAACAGTGTAGGTATTTTCTTTATCTAATACTTTTTATAGTTACACTAGGCCTATATACTAATAATCGTTGTAATCATAAAACAAAAAAGGTTTTTAAGTTATTGCAATGGATTAAATGAACAATATTTCTTCTAAACAACCAGTTAAAGAAACTTTTCA